GGGCACTGGGGGGTGGGAGACCCAGCTCAGCCAGGCGGTGGCCCCACACTTTCTGGAGGCGGGGCCAAGCCTGCGGCATCTGTCACTCCAACGGGAGCCCCGCCCCACTCCGCAGGCCCAGCTGCATCCCGAGTTCAAATCCCTCCACCCCTGGGGGTGTGGGCGACGCCAACCATCCTGGGCCTGGGTTGTTTCACTGGTAAACTCCGAACAAACCGATTCTCCAGCCCCTTCAGCCGCCAGGATAATACTTAGAATTTATTACCGTGACTTCCCTACAGAAGACCCCATTTTCTGCAGCTCCCATGTCAAGCCCTGATTGAATTAATTGACGTTGGTTATATTTCACTGGCGCACCTAAGGGACAGGAAGTGAAATCTTCCTCAAGTCGAAACAGATGAAGCTCAGAGATGTCAAGGGGCCAACCCAAGGACACACAGCCCCCCAGTGCAGCCCCATCCCGATTTCAAGACTCCCAAACCCGCGTCTTTGGGGAAGGAGAGGCCCTGCTCGGCCAGACACGGAAATCCCAGACCGCAGAACAGGTAGGCGGGAGTCTATGTCCATTACCAAGGAATTCACCTAATTACCCTTTAAAATAGCACACTGACATCTTTCAACAGTAAAGATAAACTTTAAAAAATAAAATAAACCAGCACACAAAGGCACGAGCAGTTACATGTGAAATACGCACACTCCTCTCGGTCGCTGTGACATCCATTCGTCAGGTGGGACTTGCTTTTTGGAAAAAAAGTCACATGAATGCTACCTTTTGCACCTCTTTGGTCCCACGTACGAACCCCTTTGCCTTTGCTCTCACCTCTCTCGGTGCCGCCCCCCTCTCCCCTCTGGAGCACGTGGGGACGTGGCCCAACGGGCCCACATCTCAGCACCACACTTAGGTTTCCATCGTCTCACCAGTGTGGCCGTCGGCACCCACATCATCACTCAGATGCCCCACATGCTGATGACATCTATGCTTAATGGGAGAACGGGACAGTCCTGGGTTCAGGGGGCGGCGGGGCTGGGAGAACACTGGAGGAGGTGGGCAGAGCCCCCCTGGGAGCCTGTTCCCAAACAGATGGCAGCCACGGCGCCCTGCGCCCCTGGTGCCCAGCGCCGGCTCCCTGGCGCGCGGGCGGCTGTGGGGTTGGGTCCGTCCTGATTTTGTGCGGAGAAAGGCCCCGGGCCGCCTGGGCAGTGGGCCTGGGGGTGGACACCTGTGGCGGTGTTGGCTCAGACAAAGGATCCCAAGGGCCAGACGAGAGAGGTAAAAAGGTCACCCTGCCAGAGGTCCCTCAGGAGGTCACCGTGGGGTCGGAAAACGTCTCCCATTGCAAGGTTTTCTCCAAAAATCAATGTCTCCGGGGCTGAGCCTGGTGAGAAGGGCCGGGTCCTTGTCCCTCACACGTACGTCTGACCAGATGGCAGGTCTCCATGTCCCCACCCCCACGAGAACTCCGTCGAGGTGTCTCAGCTCCAGCCCCTGAACCAGGTGCGCAGAGAACCTGGGACGGTTTGGCCGGACGGTGTGTCGGGAGCGAGGGCGGGACCTGGGCCGCGACTCGAAAACTCAGCTCGCAGCCCGACAGGCCACGGTGGCTCATCGCTGCCATGGCGGTGCCTGCGCCTGACAGAGTCGGGGTGTCACAAAGGGGCCGCGTCCCCGCTAGGCCTGGGCGGG